GTGTGACTCACAAGGCCCCTGGTGATCCATGAGGCCCTGCCTGGGCTCCCCATTCCCTTCCACGAGCGCCTTGTGAGCAAGCCTGGTCAGTCTCTGAATGAGCCATGTATCCCAAGCCCTGGCTGGTGCAGCTATTGCCCCCCTCCCACCAGAAACCCCCCCAACACTGCACAGCCTGCCTCCATTCTTCCTTGAGACTTCTCCCCATTCACCCAAAGTGAACTCCAAAATCACTGCCTTGATCCCATAGAAGCTCAGACACACCAGATGACGAGCCTCAGGTGGGGCAGAGCAGTGGTGGGATACTCAGGCCTGGGTTCACAACCCTCGGCCAAATGGCTGAACTTCTCTGTATCTCAGTTTCAGTCTGAACAATGGGCAAAATTAAAGTATTACTTCATAGGGTTGTAATGAGAACTAATGAGTTAATATAGATACAGTGCCTAAGTCAGTGCCTGGCACACGCTAAATGCTCAGTGGACATTAGCCTGTCACCACCTGCCGTGGTGCCACATGGGTACCTTTCTGACAGGTACTTTATCTCAACTCTGTTACTATCTCATGACATGTATCTTCCTCATGAGAACATAAGCACTAGAAAGATAGGGTCCAGGCCTGATTTTATTCCCATTATGTCCCCTTGTCTAGCCCAGAAGCTGGCACAGCAGTGGGCACCTGATTAGTACTTGTTCACTGAATTCATAGCCAATCAAGAACCTGGCAGCCCCTGCTCCAGACCATGTGGTGCTGTCCTAATACAGTATGTGCTCTCAGCCAGAGGGGGCCATCTACAGCAAGCAGACCTACCAACTAATTTTGTAAATAAAGTTTTATTGGAACACTACCACACTCATTTGCTTACATACATCTATGACTATTTTCATGCTGTAACAACAAAGGTGAGAGATAGCAACAGAGACCATATGGCCAGCAAAGCCAAAATAGTTACTATTGTCCCCATCCAGAAAAAGGTTGCGGGTGCCTGTGGTAGGTGTTTGCAGTTCTTGAAGCCAAGACTTCATGGGGTTTCAACAGGTTAGTCCCGGAAGTCATTAGGACATGGTCTGGCACAGGAGAGGCTCTGCAAATGTAAGCAGGCATTGTGATGTGCTATGTGCTTGCTCCTAGGAGACCCACAAGTATATGCTCATTGAATGAATTAGATGTTTCTGCTCCTTCTGATTGATTTTGGTATTGAGCCCACACCAGGCTCCATGGCAAGTCAGGACAGTGTAGGAAGTTCTGTTTGAACTGAAGAGGAAGGAACCTCAGAAATATCAGACTTGTTGTCTGAGTCAGGTGTGGTGGTGGTACTCACCTGTAATCCAGCTACTGAGGGGGAAGAGGTAGGAAGATCACTGACTGAGCCCAGCCTGGACAAAAGCATGAGATCCTATCTGAAAAAAAAAACTAAAAAGCAAAAGGACTGCAGGGGAGGGGAGGGCGTGACTCAAGTGGTAGAGCACCTGCCTAGCAATCATGATACTCTGAGTTCAAACCCCAGCACAAGGGTAGGCATGGGGAGTTGCTGCCTGTTACTGTCACCTTCTAACGCCAGATATGGCACGGATGTTTCTCCACTTAATCCTTATAACAGCACCTCTCCAGCTTTCATGTGTGTACAGATCTTGTGGGCATCTCATTCAAACATCATTCAAACATCAATGCCCATTCTGTAGGCCCAGGGTGGTGCCAAAGGCTCTGCATTCCTCACCAGCCCCCCGGGACACCAGTGCTGCTGTCCTGTGGGCAGCCTGGAGCTTTCCAGCATTCCTGGGAGCTAGATATTAGTGTCATTATCCCCACTTTACAGGATGGGAAACCTTGTCCAACAGTCAAACAGTAAGTGACAAAGTCAGGTTTCAAACCTAGATGTGACTAACTCCAAAATCCCCTTTCGGTCTGTGACACTGCCCAGCCAGAAAGCCCTCCTTCAAGAGGCACCTCCAAGGCACAACTCCCCTCCCTCCACACACACATACATACATACACACCTGCTTGCTCTTACACTGGCTTGGGCTGGCCCCTGCCAAGTCTAACCTCCTGGGTTGGGCACTGGAGAAGCTCTGCTGGCCACACAGGCTTCTGCTGAGTGGCCTGCTGGCTGGCCCTCTTCAGAGCACAGGTGGAGCACCTCCCTGCCATTGCAGCAGTTCTGTCTCCTCCATGTGCTTTGCTGACTGGTCCATGCCTACCCCACCCGACTCCCTCCATCTTGTCCACACACATGTGCGCACATGCACACACGTGCACATGCATGCACACTCACTCACATGCACGCACAGAATCCCAGCTCCCTCCCTATGCTGGCAGAATGGAGGAGCTGAGCTGAACATCAGGCCCTGGGCTGCCTCTGAGCCAGTCCAGCACTGGGAACACAGGCATGCTGTGGATGGGAACAGTCACTGTCTCTGCTCCTTTGAGCAGCCTCTGCTGCTCCTCAGAAGTCACACCACACAAGCCCTGTTTCATTCCTAACAGTGGCATTTCCTTTCTGCTAGCCAGAAGCCATACTCACACAGAGATGCCACAGCCATTAAATCACCTAACAGTCCACACCCCCATCTCACACATGGGAAAATCAGAGAGGAGGAGACTCTCCAGACCCTTCCATGCCCTCCCTGGAAGCCTCACAGAGAAAGGCTAAGGGCTGATCTGGGTTCAAAATCTGACTCACAAATGAGAGCCCTTGGCCAAGTTACCTCTCCTCTTTAAACCTCAGCATTCCTTTCTAACTTATGGCAGAGAACACATCTTGAGGACAGGATGAAATGATGTTTCATGTGTACGTTAGGTTTCCAACAGAGTGGGTGCTTGATGAATATTCACTCTTCTCCTGAGTCTTCACCAAGCTCTCACCATCCCCATGTGCCTGTAAAGATGAGGAATAAATGTCTGTGAGCTGCGTGTGTCTGCACGGGAGTGTGGCAGTACCTGGGATGGGGATCAGGTTGTGGGCAGAGCACACTAAGAGGCCACCCCACCAGCAACCGGGGAGGGAGCAGCACTGTCCCCGTGGTGCTAAGACTGCAGAAAAATCCCTGTCCTCAGCGTCTGACCTCTGCTGCTCTCCAGGGTATACTGCTCTATTCTTTTTCAAATCCCCCACCAAAAAACAAGTCCTGTCACCCAACAGCAGCAGTGAGCAGTTAGACTTTGCTGCAGGTGAGGGGAAAATGAGGTTCCCACATCCCACATGTCACAGCAAACTCTCTTAGAGGATTCTACACTACCTCTCACACAGCCTTCTCAGTCATGCAGTCACCCAAAGGGACAGTACAGAGATAGAAGGAAGCCCCTATTCCTGGAACCATCATCTCCAAATCCCTGGACTTAGGGCCTCATGGCTCACAGGACCTGGCTTCCTAAGAAGCCACTGAAGTGACTCCAACATTTGAAGCAGGTGTCCTTTTCCCTGCTCTGGCCTCCAGACCTCGCCCCTGCCTGGCCACAGCTTTTGGACAGGGAGTCCACCAGGGTCCTGACGTCACTCACTGCCTATTTGAATTTGGGTGGAAAAAATTTTTTACTTTACAGAGACACTTTACGGAGGTCCCCACACCCTGCCTCTCACTGGGACACTTGTCCCTCTATAAGGAACACACCCAGCCTGGCCACAGTCAAGCTGCCAACCCTCCCCTCTCCTGCTCCACCGTTTTCCTTACAATATTCTGTCCTTCTATCCTGTTTGTGGTCCATCCTTCCAACCTTATCCCGAGGCTTCTTGGGTTGTTTCTACTTTCTCTTTTCTTTGAAATGTGCCTCTTTCTTGCTCTTTCTTGACCACTTCGAATTTATTTGGCCAATGAGTTTGTGTTGGGAATCTCCTGTGTCTTTGAACAGAAAGAATGAAGAGAAAAAAGGCACATGGCACCTATGGCTTATTTATAGTGGAGATAAACATATAAACAAGCGTTTAATAATCTAAATACCATGTGTTGCCCCAGCACTTTTTTGTAAATACATTACCTGAATCAACTCATTTGATCCTCACAGCAATCTTAGGAGGCAGGTACTCCCTGTTTTACAGGTGAGGAAACTGAGGCACAGAGTGGCATGATAAATTTCTCAAGTTTAAATGGCTAATAAACGCCTTTTCAGGTTCCAATCCAAGCCATGAGATTACACCTAACCACCACACTACACTACCTCTCAATGGGCTCATGCGCCCCAAAGCACAAGGGAGAGAGCTAAAAACTTTGCATGAGGAAGTCAGGGAAGGCTTCACAGATGAGGGAACTTGGAGCTGCGTTTTGATGGAGGAATACAAGTTTGCTGAGTAAGGAACAGGAAAGACATTCCAGTAAGAAAGCTGAATATGTCTGAAGTCTGCAGCATGAAATGACATTGTCAGCTAGGCAGCAGAGGCTCAAGCTCGTAATCCTAGCTACTTGGAAGGCAGAGATGAGGAGGATAGCAGTTTGAGGCCAGCTGGGGTCAAGAGTTTAAGAGACCTCCATGTCAACCAACAGCTAGGTGCTGTGGTGTGCACCTGGCCTCCCAGCTGTGTGGGGAAGCAAGAACAGAAGGATCACAGTCCAGGCCAACCCAGACACAAAGCAAGACTGAATCTCAAAAATAACCAAAAAAGGCTGAGGATGTAGCTCAAGTGGTAGAGTGTCTGCCTAGCAAGTGCAAAGCCCTGAATTAAAACCTCAATACCACCAAAAAAAAAGAAAAAGACATTGTCAATGGGAGTTTTGCTGTGGCTGAACCAGAGAGAACATGGAGACCAGGAAACATAAGGCTGGATGGGGACAGAGGTCAAGACACACAGGGCCCTGTGGACTCACCAAAGTACTGGAGCTCGGACCTGAAGGTAGTGACCCAGAAGGGCTGTGAGCTGGGCAGTGGCTCTCCCTCGCTGCCTCCTTCCCTCCCTGCCTCATGTGGCTAAGCAACCTGGACCCCGAGCTGGGTCCATGAAGCCCCTGCAGCCTGCATCCCACAGTCTCACAATCTCGACCTTCTCTCCCCCCTTGGCCTTCTGTGTTCCACAGGGGCGGTGAGGGCCTCGAGCATCTTCCCGATCCTCAGTGTGATTCTGCTTTTCATGGGTGGACTTTGCATCGCAGCCAGCGAGTTCTACAAGACTCGACATAACATCATCCTGAGTGCTGGCATCTTCTTCGTGTCTGCCGGTAATGGCCACTGGGCTGGGAGGCAGGAGTCCGGGCCCAGCGGGGGACAGAAGGGAGCACCCAACCTCAGGACTAGGAGGACTGTGGGGGGAGGGGGAGGCATCTCTAGTCCTGGGACAGGCTGAAGGCTGTCACAAGGGAAGGTTGAACAGGGATCCTGCTGGGAGCAATGCTCTCGCCCCTCTGAGTCCTCCAGGAACATCCCCAGACCCCCTCCCACCACCTGCAAAAGAACTAGAATCCGGGACCTTCTCAGGATAGTGGGCCTTTGCCCACTTGCCCTCTGACCCCCAGCTGCAGTGAGGCTATGGAGAGGGGACAGGGGAAGGTGGGCGGTAAGCGATTCCTATCCTTATCATTTCTCACTAGCTGTAGGATGTCTCTCTCTCCTCTGTCTCTCGGAATGAGAGTGTCACCTGCTCATGGAAACCCGGAGCTGGAAAGGCCCAGGCAGCTGTTCTGCCCAGCAGCCCACCTCCTCCTGAACGCTAACACTCCTTCTTCTCCCCACCCCGTGCCACAGGTCTGAGTAACATCATCGGCATCATAGTGTATATTTCAGCCAATGCCGGAGACCCCTCCAAGAGCGACTCCAAAAAGAATAGCTACTCCTATGGCTGGTCCTTCTACTTTGGGGCCCTGTCCTTTATCATCGCCGAGATGGTCGGGGTGCTGGCCGTGCACATGTTTATCGACCGCCACAAACAGCTGCGGGCCACTGCCCGCGCCACGGACTACCTCCAGGCCTCCGCCATCACCCGCATCCCCAGCTACCGCTACCGCTACCAGCGCCGCAGCCGCTCCAGCTCGCGCTCCACCGAGCCCTCTCACTCCAGGGACGCCTCGCCCGTGGGCATCAAGGGCTTCAACACCCTGCCGTCCACGGAGATTTCCATGTACACCCTCAGCAGGGACCCCCTGAAGGCCGCCACCACGCCCACCGCCACCTATAACTCCGACAGGGACAACAGCTTCCTCCAAGTCCACAACTGTATCCAGAAGGAGAGCAAGGACTCTCTCCACTCCAACACAGCCAACCGCCGGACCACGCCCGTCTGAAGTCCACGGCCACGCGTGCGCGCAGGCCAAGGCCGAGCAGAGGAGGAGGAGGAGCAGGCGGCGGGAGGGACCGGGGACCCCGGGAGGCCAGCCGCGGGCGGGGGCGGGGGACCAGACCACCCACGGGAGACCTTCCAAACGCAAAAAAAAAAAAAAAAAAAAATCAACAAAAACGAAACAAAAAAAAAAAAAACAAAAAAAAAGAGAAAAACATAACAAGTAAATTAAAAAAAAAAAAGAACAAAAGTATAAGAGGAACAAAGCAGCAACCCACAGGCAATGCGGGAAAACATAAACGAGCGAAGATTAACAAACTTTAAAACCAAGCGAGAGGGATAAAAAAAATTAAAATAGAAAATAAATCTAAAAGAAAATGCATGATTTCCCATGTACCATTATTTTAACATTTAATAAAAACCAATTTAAATGAAAAACTAACAGGGAACCAAGATAACAATAAAGAAAAAAAAATGAGAAGGATGGAAAAAGAAGAGGGACGTTCTCAGTATTTCTTAGGGTTTTCTGTTGCCCTTCTTTTCTTTTCTTTTACCTGCGGGGAGAGTTTAAATGTTCCCTTTAACCCAAGCGGGCCCTGCCTCCCTGGGAAAGTGGGGGTGGAGACTCAGGGGCCCCAGGGCCAGGGGGCGTGGTCACTGCCGTCCCTGGAGCCCCTGGGAGGGGCCCCAGGACGCTGGGGAAGCTCAGTGGCTGCAGAGCTGACTCCACCCAGCACCGATGGGGCATTTTGTAGGCCTCCGGGTGACCCGAGCCCTTGGTCCCCCCTGTCCGTTAGGTGCCTAGAGGGGGGGATGTGCTTGGGGCTGCTAGTCCCAGGTTCCCAGTCCTTAAAGGTCCTTAGCCCACTGTGATGACTTCCTAAGCCTCGAGGAAAGGGAGGAAGGGAGATGCTGGAATCCTGGAATCCTCAGGGGGAATCTTTTGGGGTCACCATCCCCAAGCTCCTGTCCTTATGGTCAGGAGACACCTCCTGGGGATATAAAGCAGTTCTCCCTTCTCACCCCTCACTTCAGGGCCACCCATGACCCTGAGGCAATGGTGGACCCCCAGACTCATAGGTTCCCTAGCTCCCTAGGAAGGGGTCCTTGGGGGTCCTTGGACTCACTAATGCCCCCTCCAGGCCCAGTGGGTCCAACACTGACACTGCAAAAAGGTTTCTTTTTACAAAAGAAAAAGGAAAAACAAGTGGTGATTTTTTTTAATAAAAAAACCACAGACTATAAATAAATGTAAATATATAGTAAGTGGATTTACTTGCAAGAAATCAGATAGTATTTTTCTTTTAATTCTTTTCCAGCTTTAAACTGTGAAAACAAAAAAATGGGGTGGGGTGGGGGACTTAAAATTTAGCAGGGAACTTGTAAAGACAAAAAAAAACAGAAAACAAATATATAAATCCATTTAAAACAAAAAACAAAACCCATTGTGAGAGATGTGAGCTGGGCATAGAGCCGGAGGGAGAGGAGAAAGGCCCCAAGAGCTATAGGAGGTGTGCTTGAAAGGTCTCTTCCTGCTAGCATAAAGGCACTGCTGATGGAGAGAGAGGAGCCCCACATCCCACTCCCACCCATGGTCACACACACATCCACAGCCCTCTAAGCCCAGCTCTGCAGTCCCTCAGGGGTCACGCGTTCAATGTGACCCCTTCTACCCCATCCGCAGCCAGGAGTGTGGCTCAGAAGAAACTAGCTCACAACCTCCAAAGCCATGGACAACAACCCAACAACTGCACACCATGCTCCTTCCTGCCCTCCACTACACACATGCATGGAAGGGCACAGTCTAGAATCCAGGACAGCATTCAGGACTTCCTTGCTGTGTGACCTCTCTGGGTCTCTGCTTCCCCTTGTGTAAGCATGTGGACAGACCCAGACAAGCTCCAAAGGCCCATTCTTGCTCAGTGTATCTGTGATTTTTAAGATCTGCCACCTGCCCAGAAAAGATGCCCAGGATGACCAAAACAGCTGCCATGGAGCTCCAGGGATATTGAGAACATTCCCAAGACATAGCAGTCTCTCTCTCTCTCTCTCTCTCTCTCTCTCATCACACACACACACACACACACACACACACACACACCACACCTCACATGCCTCCTCACTGTGCTCCCCAGCCCCTGTTCCCACATCCAATGTCAAAGCAAAAATACACACATGTGAGCCAATGTATCCTGCCATTAAGACAAAGGGAAAGGACACAGAGGTCCCCAAAGCCACTCTTCATTTTGTGTCCTTTCTTTAATGCTATAACCTGGTCATAGAAAGTGGAGGAAGTTTCCTTGAGTGAAGAGATCAGCCACCAGGGTCCCTCACTGTCTTTGGGGTCAGTGAAAAAAAAAACCCTCAGAGGTTTGTGGGAAGGAGTAAAAGATTCCCTCTATGGAGAGGAGAGTTTTAGCAGAGTGGGTCCCCCAGGGAACCCCAGTCCAAAGCTAAACTTGCACCCAGACTAAAGTGCAGGGCACCCCTGGTTTCTCTCCTTTCTTCCCCAGAGCAACAAGAGGCAGTTTAGACAACAAAATCAACAGTTTTCCCAAGCAAGAAATTCCTAACCCTGCCCAGGCTGCCAGCAGCAGCCAGCCTCTCTAGTTTGCTACTCTGGAGCCAGCCTGCCCTGAGGGTTCCTAAGCTGTCTGGAGAGTTGAAAGAGGGACTGAGAAGGCTTCTTAAACTGGCCCATTCCTGGCTGCCCTTCCTGTCTTTTGTATACAAAAGCAAAGTTCTTTTCCTAGTTCATCCAGCAGTTGGAGCCCAAAAACTCTGGCCCCTGCCAGCCTAGGCCAGAATGGCAGGGGAGGCTGTGGGCCCTCAGGCACAGTGATGGGGACTGATTAGGTATGGTGGCCACTGAACATCTCTCAAGACTAGGCAGAAATGGCAAGCTATCCCTTCCCACTCAACCTTAAACCACCACCCCACCAGACTCCAAACCTGAATGTCAAGACCTAGGGAGAAGGGAGAGGTTCAAGAAGACAGTAAGCGAGCCCAGCTCCCAGAGCCCTGGAAGTGTTGGGGCAGCATCTGTGTTTCTTTCCAGTCTTAGGCCTGGGCCTAAGACTGCTTGAAGAAGGCCTTTCAGGTGTGGGGTGACACCAGTGTGCCAGAAAGGGCTAGGGGGCCGGGAGGGCAGGGCTAGGGTGGGGACCCCAGGGCGCTGCTTCCCATAGTGGACGATGGCTTATATTCGGCTCCAACCAGTTCAAGAAAACAAGTTTCATTTTATTTTCTTGGTGGGCTTTTTTTTTTTTTCAGACTGTTAACAGAAAAAAATTTTAAAAAGCAGAAACCTAAAAAAAAAAAAATCCTGGTACATGAAATAAAGATTTTTTTTATAGCTTGGTCCTCACTTCAGTGGATTTCTTTAATTGCTTTCCCAACTCTTGGCATCTCATTTGAAGCAATTCTAAAGCCACAGTTCTCAGAGTTGGAAGATAGAAGGCTTAGATGTCATGCATCTGAGACGTGTGTCCCCACTCCCAAAGTTAGGAACTCCCTCTTAAATCTTCCTCACTGATTCTTGCATGCTTCCAGTGAATAGAGGGTCATCTCACCCTGTCAAAAGCAGCACTTAGTAGCAAAAGTCTCTTCCACACAATGTCAATCTACCTCTTCCTTCACACCTCTGAACCTTTGTAGCATGACAGCCACCCCCAACCCCTCATCCATCTTTGATCCTCACAGCATGGCTGCCATGAGATCACTCTTTTAAAACACATCAGCCCCACTCACCCTCCCAATTGTCCTCCAGGTTTCCGTTTTGCTCATGAATGTGTGCAACTTGAAATGGGCATGACCTTGCCTGTGTGTTCTGAAGGCTCCTTAGAGGGGACCATGGAATGGCAGAAGAATGGGGAAGGTCTTGCAGGGGTCCCTGGGACTCTCTCAGCTTGAAGGGATAGGAACGACGAGAGGGGTTGCAAACCAGGCAGTTGGAGCCTTGTCATTGGGAGAGAAGTCCCATTTAATGGCAGCTGGAGAGCTAAGCCATCACTTCTAGCCTTTGCTGCCAAACTGCCAGGGTCAGCTAATTGAAGAGGGGTTTTAAATGCCTCTGAAAATGCCTTGAATACATTCAACCTAGTTCATTTGAACTTTGAAAATCTGTGCTGTCAAGTAGGATGAGCGGGTGTTTCAAAATCCAATCAAGACCTGGAGAGCAAACCCAAACACTCATCTGTTGGCAAGTTATCAAAGGCATCCTCCTCCCTCCTTCTATCACCTCCCTGTACCAACCTTCCCCATACCTTTCTGAATTTGTTACCCTTGACCCAGAAGCTCAGGTAGACACTCACAGCACACGTCATGACAAACAAGAAGGAAAACAGGAAGCCAAGACAGCTTGTTTACAAGGGAATCATCAGGATGCAGTGCTCTGGAAAGAGTAAAATTTCCATCCTGCCCCACTGACATCTGCCGCAATGAGGTCTCATTAATTAAAGTGGCTGGAATTCACTGGCCTGGTTATTTTAATATTGTCATTTGGAAAGCCAGGAGAGTAACCTCTGGGGGAATCCGAGTCACCATAGAAACAGCCTTGACCCATCGTCCTGCAATGGATCCTACCAAATGCCATGGACCCAGTCCTGATGCAAAGCAGGGCTGATGTGAGTGGGTAGAAGTGGGGGTCTCTGGGAGGAAAACCCTGTCTAAGATCAGGGTAGGGAGTTGTTGAGCCAGGGTTCCTGGGTTGGAGAGAAAGTTGATGAGAACAGAACTACATGGATCTGAGAGGAAAGAAGCCTGGCACCACAAGATCTGCAAAAGTCTACTCTAGAACTGACTCCCTTTCAGAACTCCCTGCTCAATTCAGCCCCAATCACTGTGCCCATGTTGCCAAGCATCCACAAATCCCAGTCATCCCCCTCTAGGCTCACCCTGAATATTTGGGGGCTGGAGACAAAAGCGCCCAGGGAGGTTCATCTAGCATAAAGCTAAATGTCAACAACACACATCAGATAGATCTTTGGGACAATCTCAAACACTAAGTTCGAACTTCGAATTCTCACCCTCTTCTGAGTTCTGCACCCGACAGTGAGGGCAAGGGTCAAGCCTGTGACCTTAGCCTCTTACCACCAGCCTATTTCCTTCTCTCCCAGTTCCCAGCTCTACTCAGCCTATGTGGGACATCTCCCACTAGGGGGACGCACATCTAAGGTCCCCAGAACAGCATTCTTCAGCCAGCCCTTCAGCCAAGCCAACAGTGATCTCAGGAGGAC